AAGTTCAAAGTTACCCTTGGCAGTAAGGCGGTATGAAAAGATTCCACGCTGGACCTACTGCTAAGGGATAGCACTATCAAGTAATACACCGACGGCTCGAAAACGGCGGAGGGGATTGGTACAGGGGTCGCAGCCACAAAAGAGTGCATCTCATCTGGGTGGCTGGTCACAGGGGTATAGCAGGAAATGAACTAGCTGACGAGTTGGCCCGCTCTGCATCCTCCACAAAAATGGTAGGACCAGAACCGTGCATAAGGCTTGGTCCACACACCATTAAAGAGCTGCTCCGTAAAGAGGAAAGAGCTGCTCCCGTAAACAGGGAGAGACATTGGCAACATCTCAAAAAGCATTTATTTAACATGGGCTTAGTCTTTTCTGCAAACTTGCGTTTCTGTGACATGGAGTCGGAAACCCCAGAACACCTGCTAGTGGACTGCACAGCAGTCTGCAGACGCAGAGTTAAGGCCCTAGGATCCATGTTTCCAAACAGGGATCGCATCGTTTCACTAGCACCTAGCAGTATATTGGAGTTCATCAATATGCTGGGGCTAGATGAGTCGTGGTGACCTAGGGGAGAGCACAATAGACCAAAGGTCGCGGTGCCTACCTCTATCTTTATCTAATCCAATCTAGTCTACATACATATGTTGCATGTAGACAGATATGCAAACATTATGCGTTCTTACATATTTGTTTACCTGCACACATAATTTAATACATATACATATACTTGTATGATCATATGTGACCAAAGCAATTAAACATACAATATTATTTATAAAACATATATAAATTAAATATTTAGGTAGTAAAATAATCTTTACTTTTTATTCTATATTTCAAGAGATTTTATGGAATTCATCATGAAATAGGTAAATTTAAAAATAAATTATATTTACTTATGTCCGTGATATATATGTATATACAGATTATCTATAAATTATATGCAAAGTCGTTTGCGCATTGTAAATAAACGAATCTGTAAGCGTACATTTTTTAACATTGGAATTAGCATTATTGAAAATTCTTCATTCTGTAATTTTTTAGTTTTAGTTTCCATAAAATATTGGTTACATTTATAAACTGTGAAACTCATGATAAAGATGGAATTGATAGTAACATGCTTGAAAACAATTGAAAAACGGATCAAAATGAGTCAACGATTATAAAATACTGTTTTGAGTTTTTAAAGTGAAACTTTTCACACTCACAGGTTCAATAAAATATTAGTTGGAGACCTAGTCTACTTTTATATTGAAGATTGATGAAGCGATTTTTAATTCAATTTCTATAATGTGAAAAAAAGTTACACTTCTACCGTGGTTTCATAAGACCACACAATCCTTTTCATTTTTACATGATTCAGCACAGAAACATAAATAAAATTCTCAATGTTCTCTGGGTGTTGTACATATTTACAGTTAATCCAAGACAGACTGAGTACTTTTATCTGCGACTATTTTTGGGTAATCTCACCTGACCATTGTCATTTCAAGATATACGTAAAGAAATGGACACCAGTATCCAACGTACAAGGACTTTTATTAAAAAATGAAAATTATTATTTTTTTTTTTTTTAATTTATTGGTCGCCTTCAAAATAGTCTCCTTCCGCCTAAATACAACGTTTTGCACGTTCAAGAAGACTATCGAATAACTTTTTTAGGTCATTTGTCGGTATAACGTTGAGGATGGCGGTGGTTGCCTTTGGATGGCATCAACGTCAACATAGCGGTTTCCTTTCATGGCCAAATGTAGTTTTCCGAATTGGTAGAAGTCGCACGGTGCCATATCAGGTGAATACGGGGAGAGGTTGATTGTTAAAATTTTATTTTTGGTCAAATAATCGGCCACATGCGTCGATCAATGAGACGGCGCATTATCGTGCAACAAACGCCAACTTTCATCTTCGCGATATTCGGGCCGAATGCGACGAATACGTGCTACCAAACGCTTCAAAACTCCAAGGTAGAATACCGCATTAACGTTTTGGCCGGGTGGCCACAAATTCTTTGTGGACAATACCCTTGGAATCATAAAAACAAATCAGCATTGTCTTCACTTTTGATTTCTCTAGGCGCGATTTTTTGGGTTTCGACTCAATTCTCATTTATGTCCTCACGACCACTTCGAAAACGTTTAAACCACTCGTGAATACGGCTACGGGATAGACAATCATCGCAATAAACTTGTTTCATCATTTGATGAGTTTTGGTAAAAGTTTTACCAAGTTGAAAACAAAACTTAATGTTGGCTCTTTGTTCGATGCTCATTTTCCGACCGACACTACAAATGTAATGTCACATGGAGCGCGATATCTTAGCTGTTATATACATTTTATACGACAACACTGAAGAATACACAATTGAGGGATAACAATTTCAGACAGATGGCGCCACTAGAAGCCGCGTTGTTTAAAAAGTCCTGGAACTTTTGAATTGTACCTTGTATACTATTCGTCTACTATTTGCTATAGTACTGATGACATTTGTCCTGATCCGAGCACAAATGTTGTGGGTTAATCATAAAGATTCGATGACGGATGAAAAGTGCAACGAACCAACGATATCTTTCAGTGAGGCAATGTACAATGAAAAATTTATTGTTATTGAGGATCATTGTATTGTCATTGCGAATTTACGTATCAGCCATTTGGCATGAGTACCGGTTTGGATCTGATTTAATCAACACAGATATAAATGGTGAAACGCAGTACAATGCTCTCAAATTGGCAGCGACTGTTACTCGCAATATTCCACTGATGAACGAATATTTCACTGACTGAAGAAAGAACAGTTAGCACTTTCGGACACACAAGTTGGAACTGGAAAAACATTCTTTATTTCGATACCTCTTGCTGTGATACGATCAAAAATGGCATCGCATAAGCCGTTGCATCATCTGGTATTGCAGCAACTTTATTAGATGGAGGCAGACAGCTCATTCAACATTTAAGCTGACATTTAACTTTCATTATAACCCAGATGCAATGTGCAACATAAAATAAACAATCGTCCATGGTAACAGTACTGCAACAGTATAAAATTATCATTTATACACATTTACATCCACAAATATTCACTTGAGCATTGGATATGATATTGAAAGACATAAAAAAACAACGAAAAACTGCGAAGGCTGATGATATCAACGCTGGCTTAAAATCAACGTGAATGTGGCGTAATGTTGTACAACTGACAGAAACTATCCGCGTTCATATTATTTAGTTCCATCTGTCGAAACTATCTCAAAACAACTGTTAGATATTGACAATAGAAAAGTTGCTCTACATGAAAATACTGGAGGCATTAAGTTACCCACTGATTTCTGCACAATCTTCAATTCACAAAATACTCTCATCGACAATATATTTCCCTGTGTATCCAAAAAATATAAAAATCTTGAATGGCCGACAATAAGAGCATAATGACAACGAAAACTGTGGACGTCAATGTATTAAATTCAATGATACATCAGTTGTTGCCTGGGGACTTGGTATCATACACATATCGACGCAAAGGACGCTGCGAATTATCTAATTTACTTTTTGAATTCATTGGACATTCTGAACAAGGTTGGATCTCTGGTTATTTTGCTTCATAATTTGAAACCACTACAGCTTTGCAATCGCACAAGATAAGGAATTTTTAAGTTCGGGTGTAACGGAACATTTTATACTCTCGCAACTTACAAGGATCAAAGCCCGGGAAATGACTTCAGATGTTGGCAACATTTAAAGGAAGTATTAATCCGATTCAACTCATTTTTGACACAAAAACATGCTATTTTCAAGAGTTTTATTTATTTATTTTATTATATAAATTTCAATTATATATCTTACACATTAACTGATATTTTCGGTAAAAAACTATAGGCACTGGGGTCCACATATGCAGTACCTATTGGCTTGAGCAGTTTTAATTCCATTTAGACAATTTTTAGTCACAAGGTGGCATACTTTAAACGCATTATTCACGCAAAGTTTTACCCCGATACAATCATTGGTGCTTGATTTTCATAGTGGAAAGTGAAAGAATCAGATAGAATCTTAAATTGTGTTATATAGGAAGTAGGCGTGTTTGTAATTCGATTTCGCCCATTTTCGCACAATAACATAGAAATACAAGAAGAATGTTATGTACCAAATGGTTTGCGGTCGGTTAAGCAGATCGCATGATATGGGTTTTCACCTAAAAGCAGGCGGTGCCACACCCACTGTCTAATTTTAAAATCGGTTCCTATAAAGACATCTCATACCATCGCAGGGATAAAATTTAATGTCTCTGGCGTGTTTAGTGCTTGATTTATCGCGCTTTTAATAGTTTTAACAGTACCGTTATATGGGGAGTGGGCGGAGTTGCCACCCATTTTCACACTATCGACAGAGGTGCTAAAATATTTGTTCTCAGTGAGTTTTGTTATAAAAGCTTTAGCGGTTAAGGAGATATGCACACTAAACCTATTAGGGGGCTAGATCACGGCTACTTTTAAAAAAAAGTTTAAACTGCAGATGTCACTTAGCTATGGCAGATTATTTGTTTTTGATTAATGGCGTTTTGTGGGCGTGGCAGTGGTCCGATTAGATGTCTCAATATTTGCTTAAGTTGCGGATTTCAACTCGTCGCTTCATCCTGATAATTTATACATATATTATATTAATAATCCTATATCTAACTCGATTAGTTTTAGGTGATACAAACAACCGTTAGGTGAACAAAACTATTATACAGTACACTCCGCATATAAGAAACTGCGAAAATGTCACTTAATTGCTTCCTTTATCCGGTTTTTCTAATAAGCGGGGTCTTCATATAAGAAACTTTTCTTATAAGAGTATACCTTATATAAGAAACATATATCTTATAAGCATACACTGAATCTGATAACATTTTGGCTTATGATAAGTAGAAAACAATTCGATTGTTTGTGTTAAACAAAACAAATACAGTTTATTTATTACACTTAAACTTTTGCATAAAATAAAAAAAGGATAAAAATTAACAAAACATTAAATTTATTTCAAAATCAACGCATTCAAAGGGTAATTTATTTTTAAGCCAAGTAATTGGAAGCTTCAAATTGATTGGGAAGTTACAAAATAGTTAATTTTTTTTTTTTTGAACAAGTGATTTGTCTCGTTCATTAAAGAGAATTTGCTCAGTGTTTATTATGTTATCATTTAAATACTGCTTCAGTATAAACAAGGCATGCAGCGCTTCTTCCCTGCTAGGCTGCATGGCACTATCTGCAGAGTTTTCTTCAATTTCATCTTCCTGTATTTCATTTATTATATCATCATCGTTTGCAGCTCCGAAACAGTTCTCTTTTTCTAAATCAACTATGTTTTTAAAAAAAGTTTCGTAGTCTACAGTCTCGCAAACATCATCTGAAGCAGAGCCATCGGTTTCACAATATACTTGTACATCACTTGAATTAATATCATCTAATGAGTCTGCCACATGGATTCCATCGTGAATTCCCGCCTTTTTAAAACAATTTTGAATTATTTGTGGAGTCACAAGCCACCATGTGCGTTTGATGATAAACAAAGCCCTCAAAATAGAGATGCTTTTTAAAAATTTAGCCATTATTCCGCCCTCTGCAGCTAAAATTTGTTCGCGGACTAGGCACTTTCTGTAATGTGATTTGAAGGACTGGATAATTCCTGTAACATATAAAAAAAGAAAAAAATATTTGGTATGAACTAAAATTGGCAAATATAACATACCTTGGTCCAAAGGTAGAATTAAACTTGTAGTACAAGGTGGCATAAATACAATTTCAATGCTTTTTGGTTCAAAATCTAATTTGTGGCATGAAGTATTATCAATTAAGAGTAATATCTTTTTATTTTTTATGGTAAACTTATCATCTAGCTCTTTTATAATTTCACTCCATATAGTACTTCATCCACGCTTTTTTATTAAATTTGTACGGGATAGGAATGATCTTTCCCCTAAAACATCTTGGGTTCTTATATTTGCCGATTGCATACACATATTTGTTTGTACCAATACAGTTGGTTATAACAAGCAATGTGATTCTCTCTTTTGGCGTCTTAAACCCGCTGGATGCTTGGCTTCCCGCAACGTAGGACCCAGTAGGCAGAGCTTTATAAAAAAGACCCGTCTCGTCAGCGTTATAAATATCTTCTAACGCATACTTTTGTAGTAAAAGTGGGAGCACATTTTGCTTAAATTCTTCAGCCGATTGACTATCCGCGGAAGCAGCTTCCCCATGATGTTTTCTAAAATGTATATTTTCGTTTTTCTTCCACCTTTGGAGCCAGCCCGGACTAGGTTTCAAATCAGGTATACCCAATTTTATAGCAAACTGCTTTGCTTTTTCAAAAATCACTGGACCAGTTACTCGGGCGTTGGTCTCCATCATTTGATTGAACCACATCAACATTGATTTATTAAGCGTTAAATATTTTGACTTTCTGGCTCTTTTTTTGTTCCAAGTTTCTACAAATGTAACTTTTCTGGTTAATTTCCTCTGACTTCTTCAAAATTTTTGAAAGAGTGCTGCTTGCGATATTAAACTTTTTTGTTATTTCGCTCCGGGTTTTGCCACTTTTCATTTCTTCCAATATTTTCATTTTTGTGTTTAGGGACAAAGTATTTCTTTTTAATATTTCCATTTTTCTTATTGAATTTAAAAATATTTAGAAAATTTTGCAAAACAGCTGTTTTCCAAATGTCACAATATCAACGTTGCCACGTATAGGTTTCAATGATTTCAAGGAAAAGTATTGTCAGCATAACATTTTACAATTTTTTCTATTAAGAGGTTTTTTTATAGAGGTAGACATGTTTTCGTGATGAAAAAATTTGTCTTTTATCCGGTTTTTTCTTATAAGCGGTCCTCTTTTAAGCGGTCTTTTTTGGTTGAAAATACTTGAATGGTTCACGGTGTTTTTAATTTGTTTCTTATAAACGATATTTTCTTATAAGCGGGTTTCTTATATGCGGAGTGCACTGTACTAAGTAGCAGCATGTTGCGAGAGTATAAAAATAATATGTATACGGACGATCTGAGGTCGGGAAAAGGGGCGTGACTCCCAGCGGGGTCTCTGCTTGCATATTCAGAAAAAATTTACCATAGTAATGTATATACAAGTACAATCGGAAAATTGTATAACGTTTGCGGCGAATATTAATTAATATTATTTTGCTTTTAATTGTGTTTGGGCTTTGTGTGTTGCAACATTGAATTCTATTACAATTACATTTCTACACACATTAAATTGCTAGTATTGTTTTGAAAAACAAACACATTGAAGTGCAAATAACCTTGATATCATTCGTTTTATTTTGGTAAATTTTATGTAGTTGGTTGAATTGGCAGTATCAACAACAAGAACGAAATAGGAAGTATGGCTTCATTAAAGAAAGAACGCGATCAACGGAAAATCGAACGCGATTCTTTGAATAATAACTTAAAGGTTGAATGAAATCAGTTAAAGGATAAACGCGATAAATTGCGTTTGACTGTTGAATTTCTTCAGAAGAAGGTGCTGTTTCCTCGACATTGCTGATTCCTAAGCTGATAACTTTCCGATAATCAATCAAGATAATAACTTTGTTGAAAAAAAAGTTCGAGACTTCATCGGTATTTCATTCAAACAATTCAACAATATTTGATACTAATTATTTTGGCATCCTTTCGCAGGTGCACACGTGGTGCACACATTAACTCTTCCATTTCTCTGCCCCCAATATACTCTACAAGTATATAAGATTCTTGACTTTCCACCTGACTACAAACAGTTTAGGATGGTCAGAGACTTTAATGAAATTAAGTGGTCACTTAAAAGTTATACAATTATATTAATGGTTTAGCGCTGAATGTGTAAGCAAATGGTGTAAACCTTGGTCCAAACCTCACATCGATTATATATTGAATTTCGATCAATTCATTGACGTTTTCCAAATCAACTCAATATGTTAAATTTAGTAGCAGTCTTCCACTAACTCTCGTACCGATAAGACGTCTGTTTTGTATACGGAGTTCTCTTGATTAGTTAGTTTCTTCTCACCCCACTTCTAGTGTTAATATTTTTTTTAGTTATTTTTTTCTCGCCTACCACATACGCATAGTTGTTGTTAAAGTAAACGTGCAAAATGGGCCGTAGGCCACGAATTCGGGAAGCAAATCGTTTCGCAATACTCGATACCGGTCAAATAAAAAGAAAAAAGAAAAGTGATCTCGAAATAAGTGCACCCTTATCTGCATTCATTGTTTTTCAACAGGCACAGCACAATGGACTCACTTATTCAACTCCAGCACTTTATTTCTGACTCTCTTTCTACAAAAAAACATGCCTCAATTTTAGCTACAGACTTCGAGAAAGCTTTAGACCGCATGGGTGCTCATGCAGTTCTAAGCCAACTCGCGTCCTGGAAAATTGTTCCAAAAGTATTTGAAATAGTAAAAGCTTTCATGGCTCATCGACAATTTAGGGTACGCGTCAATAACATCTTTTCAGATACACACCAATTCAAAAACGGTATACCTCAAGGCTCGCCCTTATCAGTAGTACTTTTTATTATTGCTTTCGACAAACTCACTGATATTTGTTTAAATATCAAGAGCGTCAAACTCACACTGTATTCCGATGATGACATTGTTTATACTAACTTAAAAGATCCACAAGCGTTAATGAGACCTTCCATAAAGTACTATCAGAATTTAAAAAATGGGGCCTTAAATCAGGAGCATCCATCTCTGTACCCAAAAGTAAACTTCTTCATATTTGCAAAAAAGTTAAATGTAATTTTCCACAACTAGTCTTTGACAATACTATTATTCAGTCGGTATCCAATTTAAAAATTTTAAGTATATGGTTTGATAATAAGTTTACTTTTAAGCATCAATGTATTAACCTCAGAAAAAATCTTTCTAAGAGACTCAATATTATTAAGTATATATCAAGCAAAAAATCATTAATACACTCCAATACTCTCGTCAATATTACAAAAGCCATAATACTCTCCAAGATCGACTATGGCTTACCTATCTTTGACTGGTGCGCCAACACAAACATCAAGCAACTTGAACCCATCTATCACGCCTCAATTCGTCGCAGTATTAACGCTTTCCCTACATCTCCTATAAAATGCATCCTAGGAGAGGCTGGGTTTCCGGCATTGCGATAAAGAGTATACGATACCACGATTCAACGCATTCTAAAAGTTTTACATTCTCCTAACTATGAACTTCATAAGACTTTAATAGCTGCCTCCAGACACAAAAGAAATTTCCGGCTAAAGTCGACTCTTCGTCGATGCATCAGATATTGTCAACTTTTGAAAATCAATATACCACCAAATTTTAATAAAACCAATACGCAACCTGATTGGCTTATTAGCCAATCCATGATAGATACATCACTTCACACCTTAAAAAAATCAAACACAAGTAACACAACTTTTCAACAACGATTTCTGGAACTAGTTGACACTTACAAACAAAGAAACTTTACACCAATTTACACAGACGGCTCCAAAGCAACAAATACTGCCTTTGCAGCCACCTCATCCAATAGAACTATTATAGCGGGGGTTATCTTTCGCCTCACTCGTCTGTATTTACGGCCGAAACTTTTGCTATCTACAAAGCATTAGAGTACGCAATTCATCAAAAAGGTAAATTCGTCATTTGCTCGGATAGCCTCTCCTGCTTGAACGCAGTAACAAACATACGTAACAACTCAAACGTTATTGGAAAAATCCGAGATCTATGCATTAAACATAAGCAAAAAGTTGCTTTGCTCAGGGTACCTGGCCACGTCGGAATTCCCGGCAATGAGCAAGCCGATAATGCAGCGAAATATTTCGAATCAGCGCCAACCTTTCAATATGTGCCCCAGGACCAAAATGATGTTAAGAACATGCTTTAAGAACATAGTCGCAATAAATGTCTTATGGAGTGGAGACGCTTTGAACACCGATACACAATATATTTCAATCCTGCTCGGAATAAAGTAATTTACCCGACCAGCATCAGTCGCCTACAATCAATCATCTTCACACGCCTAAGGATAGATCATACTCAGTTAACACATCAACACATTCTCATCGGCAGGCAGCCACCAAATTGCACTTTCTGCGGGAACAACTTGTCCATCGATCACATTTTCAACAATTGTTTGGTTTTAGAGAGTATTAGAAATAATCACTTTATCACTGATCAGTATCATAAATTATTAACTACACCATCTCATGATAATATTACAAAGATTTATAATTTTCTAGTAGAATGTAACTTGCAAAATAGAATATAAGTTTTACTTTAGCTTTTTCTTTATATATTAACATTCGGAGCCGATGGCCACTGTTGCTTGTGCTCCTCTATGTAATTAGGTCTAATATTTGTATATTATTCCTAATAAACAATAATAGTAATAATAAATTTAGTAGACTCTTCGCTGTGGTATGTTAAAATATAGCAATAAAGCTAAGTGATGATGATATGATATATAATATAACTTAATAAAATACCCAATTTGATTTGAATCCATTCACGATTTCGTCGTAAATGTGGTATTCTTTCGCAACATCTCAATGTGAAGTTTTGCCAACACTTGAAGGTATTTCCCCGGCTTTGATTGAAATTTTAACAGTCCCTTTGCGAGCCATATTTGTATTTTTATTTTGGAAC